GACAAACACAAAGACTTGAAGTGTCATTCCTTGAAGTATTCAAGAAGGTACACAAGATTTTATTGGAGTCAATGACGAGTTCGGAGCGCCTAACGGAGGAGGAGGAGATTTCCGAAGACTTTTTATTTATTTGAGTCTTAGGAATTATTGTAAGGATGACAAAAATATCTTCTCTCCAAATATTATTTTTATGAGAGTAAATATAAAAATAATATATTTTTTGAGTCAGTTGAAAAATCCTTTTAACTGTTCAAAATACATTTATTGAGTCAGTTACCAAAGGTGTGTCAAACATTTATCAAATATTTATTTTGATATTAGAAAATATTTTTGGAAAGCAAAAATATTTTATTCAAATATTTTCATGTTCATCGTTTGACACACAAAATATTTTTGGAACTCATTTTCTACACCAAAAATATTTTTTCATAATTCAAATTTTGAATTTGAATTATGTAGGTTGATTGGGGAGCCTTTTGATATGATTTTCTTGTCCTAAACAAGTGCTAATTTCCAAATTAGCACTTCACCTCGCGCACATGATTGTGTCATTCATGTTTGGGCATAATTGCGTAAAAAATCGATTTTTACACTTGGGCAAAAATCGATTAGCATTTCGTCCGCTGAAGGATTTTTGCACAGACTGCATTAATCGGTTAGCATGGTGCATTAATCGATTTTTATTTTCAACAAACTGTTTTTTCTAAGCTTCAAGGGACATATTCCTTCAACCACTTTATAAACTTCTTTCCTTGGTCATTTTTAATAAGAACAAGCACTCCTAAACTCCCCTATCTGTAAGTTCGTGGGGGATGCAGCGGATAACACCAAACCAAGATATGCAAACAAAACAATCAACTATGTTGTAGAGGAGATGCTGCAGCACTGTCACAGTAACAGATGACTGACAGAGTACTATAACACCTTCTCTATCACAAGCACACACGTAGAATGTAAAGTAAAAACCGCAAGCAAGACACCAGAACTGTTCACGCAGTTCGGAGCAAATTCTCCTACGTCTTCAAGGCCCACGTCCGTGTAATAGGCCTTCCACTAAATCACCGTAAGAATTACACAATCAATCACAACAGAACCTTCTAATGTATTGATTTGTCTACTTACGAATGACTTGACGACAAACTAGGTTTGCGTCTATCTCCATGGCTTGTTACACCTTCTCAAAGATCTTCTTCAAGGACGTAGATTCCAATACACCTTCAAATAAAGATTCTTCTTGATCTACAAAAATATGCAGGCTGTTCAGAAGCTCATAACTCGAGATTGAACCGTTGAAATTCGATCTCCACCGTTCAGATTGAAGCTCCACGAGTCCTTAGACTCCTCCTAAAATTTCAGCACGATCAGACAAGATTTGGTACTCCAACCATCGAGAAAACCAGGGCAGTGTTTTCTACAAAAAATCAGCAACAGTGTGTAGATTGTAACTTCGATAACAGAAGATCTGTAACTCCGATTGACGTTAAATTTTAACACGTTGAAGTCATCTGTGTTGGGTACACCCTCTAAAAATTTCAGCAAAATCCAACGGTCGGATCTCCGGCGATGATCAAATCCGTGCGGGCTGTCCAGAGAATTTACAGTCTCAAAATCTGCACCTTGTGTTTTTTCTTTTGATCGAATTTGCTTCTGGTTTTTCGTAGTTTTGCACGTCCAAAACTCTAAGGGAGGGTAAAGATATTAATAGAATAGAATAGCCATGTTAGAGTGTGCTTACAATTCTCAACCATGGCCTCCTCCTTATGAATTGTAAACCAAGTAGGACTAGAATTCTCTCTTCAAGCTCTTTTCTCTTCCTCTTCCTTCACATGCTAGGACTCTAAGTCTAAATAAAACATTTCAAATAATTCTAGATAAATTCATTCGTTTGTCAAAAAATAATGCTAACAAAATATGGAACTAACACTATCTTGAGATTATAATCCTCCATTCATTTCTTTCTCAAATTGATATATTTTAAGAGAAAATTAAGTGTTTTCAAGAGAGTGTTCTTGTCATCCATAGAGCTTAATCTTTTCTCATTTCTACTCTTGTGAGAGTTATTGTTGTGAGGCTGAAGAAGATTGTTCTTCTTGTTGTATAAGACTTATGCGACTTAAGTCTTGAGTGTGAAGTCTTGTAGAGGGCATATCTACGAGCGGTTGTGTCAAGGCTTGTGGGATTCAAGTTCTCGGTTTGTAAACAGTTTGTTAAGCACCCATAAGCTTAACGGAAGTAGTGGTAGCTTCGAGAGAGTCTCTCGGGGAACTAGACTAGCCACGAGGTGGTGAACGAGTATATATCGGTGTGTTCTTTGCCTTCTCTCTTTTATTTCCGCTGCACTTACATTTATATTTTTAATCCTGCGAAAATCGGTAAACATTCTTAACAATTCTATTCACCCCCCCTCTAGAGTTGCACGTTTGGCTAACAGTTAATATTGTCATTGTGATGAAATAAAAAATACACTAGCATGAAGAAAAAACTGAAAAGAATGAACAGAAACACAATAAGGTAAGAAGCACTCCCAGACTCTCATCTCAGGTGAATCTTGTTAGTTCCAAGGTGTTGGCTAATCTTTTGGCAAAATAGAATCCCATATTTGTTAGGTGTTTTACTAGGTAGAAACCTCTATTTGTTAGGAGAGGTTTATTTTATTTAGACTTCTAGAGCTGCTGCAGTTTTTGAGGTTGACACAGAAGATGATACAGCACGATGCTGCAACACAGTGTGCGGGATCAGAGGTCTGAGCACGGGATTTTAAGCTGCAATCTGAACTAGAGACCTATTGGGATTGTGATTACATGATAATAACTCTAGCTGTACATGCTAAGGAATCCAAACTCTTTAGGCTACTTGTGGATCAAGACTAAAGAAGTAGAGTTCAAGCCAACTTCTACTATCCTATTCCTACTAGGATTGTGTTAAGAGAAGCCTATAAATACGCAGCAGGTCCCTGGGAATTACTTGGAGCGATTGAGATGGAAAATACAGAAGATACGCTGATGTAGAGCGTTCCCGTCGCGTGCTGGAGCTTCCCTTGCGTGAAGAAGGTTACGTTCTACACGAAGGAGGAGATCTTCAACGCCAAACATATCGTGACGTCCAGGAGATGAATCAGAGCTGAACGAGTGGGCTGCCAACACGTTTGTCCTCGTGATCTCGGTGGAGATGAGATAGCCGAAGCGAATCTGAACAGAGTTCGGGTTAGAAATCGTAGATTAGAAGTTTTGTCATAGCAATTCGGAGAAGGGTGTCTCATCATGTTGTTATGTACCGGTGTAACTTGCATCTAGTGATTTAGTGGAGCGCTATTACACGGACGTGGGCCCCGCAGATTAGGAGAGTTTCTCTGAATTGCGTAAACATATCTGGTGTCATTTTTACGCTTTTATAGTTACAGCATTCTGTCCAGGTAGGCACTGTAACACCCTCTGCATCATCTGCGTCTGTGTGTGCTTGTGACAGAGAAGTGTAATAGCACACTGTCCGTCATCTGTTATTGTGACAGTGCTGCAGCGACTTCTCTGCAGCACAGTTGGTTGATTTGTTTGCATAGTTCTTAATTGGTGATTTCCGCTGCGCCCCCCACGAACTTTCAAATGGTATAAGAGCGGTTGAGCTTAAGTTATTAGCTTGATCTTTGGGTGGTTCGTTGCAAACATTCTTGATGATCTGAAAAAGACTTAGCGCACTTTATGAAGCAAGATGTGGTATTTATGCAAATCCTGAGGGGGAGTAAATTACAGAAGAGGATGAAGCTCAGGCAGATTCAAGTGGGAAGTACGTGCATGGATCGTAATGGTAGATTTTATTTTTATTTTGCGCTTGTGATTGTTGTATGCTCTTAAAAGAACTTGGTATTACTTTTCTTTTTTACCCTAAATAAATTTGGTATATTTTGTGTCAAAAAGGGGGAGAAAAGGCTTAGTTCTTAAAAGATGCTTTAATCTTTTATGCGCATGGTGCATAGTGTATTTTGCCAAAAAATTTCCAAAGGGAGAGATTGTTAGTTCCAAGGTGTTGGCTAATCTTTTGGCAAAATAGAATCACATATTTGTTAGGTGTTTTACTAGGTAGAAACCTCTATTTGTTAGGAGAGGTTTATTTTATTTAGACTTCTAGAGCTGCTGCAGTTTTTGAGGTTGACACAGAAGATGATACATCACGATGCTGCAACACAGTGTGCGGGATCAGAGGTCTGAGCACGGGATTTTAAGCTGCAATCTGAACTAGAGACCTATTGGGATTGTGATTACATGATAATGACTCCAGCTGTACATGCTAAGGAATCCCAACTCTTTAGGCTACTTGTGGATCAAGATTAAGGAAGTAGAGTTCAAGCCAACTTCTACTATTCTATTCCTACTAGGATTGTGTTAAGAGAAGCCTATAAATACGCAGCAGGTCCCTGGGAATTACTTGGAGCCACTGAGAGGGAAAATACAGAATATACGCTAATGTAGAGCGTTCCCGTCGCGTCCTGGAGCTTCCCTTGCATGAAGAAGGTTACGATCTACACGAAGGAGGAGATCTTCAACGCCAAACATATCGTGACGTCCAGGAGATGAATCAGAGCTGAACGAGTGGGCTGCCAACACGTTTGTCCTCGTGATCTCAGTGGAGATGTGATAGCCGAAGTGAATCTGAACAGAGTTCGGGTTAGAAATCGTAGATTAGAAGTTTTTTCATAGCAATTCGGAGAAGGGTGTGTCATCATGTTGTTATGTACCGGTGTAACTTGCATCTAGTGATTTAGTGGAGGGCTATTACACGGACGTGGGCCCTGCAGATTAGGAGAGTTTCTCCAAACTGCGTAAACATATCTGGTGTCATTTTTTCGCTTTTATAGTTACAGCATTCTGTCCAGTAGGCGCTGTAACACCCTCTGCATCATCTGCTTCTGTGTGTGCTTGTGACAGAGAAGTGTAATAGCACAATGTCCGTCATCTGTTATTGTGACAGTGCTGCAGCGACTTCTCTGCAGCACAGTTGGTTGATTTGTTTGCATAGTTCTTAATTGGTGATTTCCGTTGCGCCCCCCACGAACTTTCAAATCTTTCTTTGGATTTAGAGAAATATCAGCAAAATTCTTAATTCTCCATGATTTCCTATCCTTGTTCAGTAGCTAGAGAAATCGCACGGTTAATATACCAATTTATCATTACCGTCTAAATAAAATAAAGCGTGAAGCGAAAAAATATATAAAAACATAAGCATTCCTTAATGTTATAGAAACCAACATAAAAAGCACTATCAAGCATATCTTGAATCATTTCTTGGGATCAAATTTGTGTTCTGTGCTTGAGCCTTTTACTTGTCCTAGGATTAAGCACAAGTTCCTATTCCAGCATATGAAAATTGCAATAAAAACAACATTTTTTATGACACAATAATTGTTGTATGATGGACCAGTGAAGCCAGAACATCTAGAATCTTAATGGCCTAAAATGAATATTTAGGGGAGCCAAACGATATCCCATTAGAGAAGATTTATTACTAGTTGAGGCGGCAAAATTAATGGTGGTTTGGTGCAAATTAGGTCAAGAACCTTGTGCAATATGACTGAGAAACAAAGAGTACTCTGTTAAAATAAGATGTTCCATTTATGAACATCATTGGGACATTTCATCGAACATGATGTGGGCACCGTAGGACCTTTGGAAATTTGCACTAATTTTGGAGTGCAACCAACCTACATCCTTTTGAAAAACAAAACGGGATACACGACACCTAGAGATGACCAAAATTAGTAAATAATATACCTAATGTGTTTCAAAATTCCGAAGTAAAAGTATGGTCACGACTATTAGTCGGTTTAGTCATTGTGCCTACACCTTAAGGGGGGTGAATAAGGTGTTTAAAAACTTTTCGGAGTTTAATAAAATGGTGTTGGCAAATGCGGAAGCAATATATAAAACGCAAAAGTAAAGGCATAAATAAAATGCACACCGAATTTATACTGGTTCGGAAACTCCCTACTCTAGTACCTCGAGGCTCCTCTTCAAGGATTTCTGAATCCACTAAGTCTCGGTCTCTTGAACTCCGTCAAAGCACCGCACTAGTTTGGCAAATAACCCTTACCAATAGGATTCAATCCGAGATTTCACCACGGCTATCTCGAACCGTTTACAATGAAGATTAACGCCTATCTTCTAACGTTCCCCCAAGGATTTCAAAGGCTATCCATGAACCTTTACATAAGGATTTATACTGCTATCCTTGACCGTTACAATGTGAGAATTTAACGGCTATTCTTGACCGTAAGAAGGTGTGTTTAAAAAACACAAACAAGAGTTCTACACAACGGCTTGAATATAAAAATGAAGAACAAAACTTAGCCGGTGTAGATCGAAAGTATACTCTCTCAAAAATACAATTCAAACTTATGAATATGAGAGTATATAACTAGAAACACAAGCTCAAAGTGTGTGTATAAAAATTAGGAATTTAAGGCTCTTAAAATAGCCAAAATATTGAAAATAATTAATAGAAGGATGAACATACTTAGAATAAAAAGAGAGGATGTTTAGATCTTTGTTTTTTGTTGAAATATGAAGTATTAGGCCTATATTTATAGTGGAGGATGTTAATTAGCCGTTAGGAGGTGATTAGAGTTGAATTAATTCAAAATCAGTAATCAGGAATAGTGTTCCAACGGTAACGGTACCCTATCACGGTAGCTAGGTCTCGTACGGTAGATAAGGTACCTTCTAAGGCCAAAACTCTCTGGCGGTACCTATCCTTATGGTACCCCTTATAGTAGGGGGGTCCCGTGCTACGGTAGGGGGGTGTTGTGCTATGGTAGGGGGGTCCCCTCTCAGGCTAACTCACGGTACCCCTTACGGTACCCCTCACGTTAACTATGTACCTTATGACCATTTTGAAAATTTTTTCATTTTTGCCCAAAGCATTTCCAATTTTGTTTAAAACTTTTTGGATGTTTGAAAATGATTATAAAAGGGTTTTAAACATATTGTAACACCCTAATCCGTTCAGGTTTGCAGCCCTTTTTGGACTAAAGTATTAACTTGGTATTCGTAAAATTTAAAACATTTCAAATACTTTTATTCATCATAAATATTATTTAATACATAATTGTAGCAAAATACAGAGTGTTTAACAATAGTGCGGAAACAATTTAAATCATGTTTAATAACAACATAATTATTTATTTAAAGTCACAAATTCCACCACGACAATCTCGCCCCTTCCGCTGCCAGGAACATGCAAATCATTCATTCTGCCTACCTGCGTGTAACAAATAAAACATACTACACGCTCAGCGATGAAGCTGAGTAAGCATATCTAAAACGTCGAACATTCACATAAATTGAATCTTAATTCACAATAAGCATTTGATATCTTGCACACAATATATAATTCATTCAACACTTTTATTTCAGTATCTCAATATTCAACATTCATATTCCATATTCAATGTTGCCAATTCTTTGAATGTTTACCAACTCTTAAACTAATTCTAGTTCAAGGTACTTCTAACCAACTCTTAAACTATTTCTAGTTTAAGGTACTTCTAACCAACTCTTAAGCTAGGTCATTAGTTTAAGGTACATGTTCCGATTGATTTACCAACTCTTAAACTAGCCTTCGCTCAAGGTACAATTCCAAAAAACCAAACAGTAGAATACTAACTGTCGGGTGGTATCCCCAAACGAGTTCCTCTAGTTTGGTTTATGGATCTCGTACGTACGTTTTTACCCAAGGCCACCGAATATACATATTTATACCCGCAAGGCCCAATCTAATTTGAGGTCTATCTTAGAGGTCTTCGAGATAGCCTTAACAATACACCGGTTCCATGTTCACCCTTATATTCATTTTTAATCCTTGATAATTCTCCTAATCAGTAGGTTTATTGACAAACTGCGTATAGCGGTAATTCAACAAATAACCGAGTTAGACTCGGGTTGTTCTCTCCAGGAGTGACGAAGGGAATAGTTAGTTTTATTATTTCTCACAGGTAAATTTATAGTCTAAGAAACGTGAAATAATAAGAAATAAAGCGTGTAAAATAAAATAACTTGAGGAGTTAAGATCGGAACACGGACATAACACACAATCAATAGTTTAGAAACAGGAACGAATCGAACAGGTATATGGGCTAAGATAATAATTTTGGATTAAATTAACTTCTTAATTAATTTGATTTTATATCATTAACTTATCCATTTTTCAGGCGTCATTAATGTGTCTAAATATGGTTGGCTAGATTATTTTTCTTAACTCTTAGACAAGCTAGATAAATAATCTCCAAAGATTAATTAATAAATTGGCCAGATCTATTAATTAGTGAATCTCATTTTAGACAATTGAATCAAATTAATCAATTTACTAACTTAATTTTAATTACTAATCATTAGCCCATACCCTTAATTCAATTCATACCTAAGTATAAATTTAGTCACTAAAAGCCATTAGTTCACAATTTAAACTAAGTAATAAAAGATACTTTTATTAATAAAATAAGAGTATACAAGAAAGCTTACAGATTTTGAAGAACGGAATACAAATCGCACAAACCTTCAAATCAACACTAGTGCTTCAAAGACTTGATAATTAACTTAAGATGATGAAATTGAACACACCCAATTTTAATACTCCGTACAATATTAAAAATCAAAAGGGAGAATTTTCACCCCTAAAAAGGGGAAAATCGCAGTTGAAGAAGCCTGGGAAAAGGGAGGATCCGTGCTGGCCATTTATAGGAAAGGATCACCGACCGGCGCTGGAACCATCTGGAAACTCGCCGCTAGACGCCATCGCGGCAGGCGGTCACCTGTCAGCCCGCCGGCGCTCTCGATCGCTGCCAGATCTGCTTCTCGCTGCCGCCGCCATCCTGACCGGCGTCCAGGGAGGCTGCCGCCGGCCAGGCCGCCTACTGTGCCGCCCTGGTCCGTCAATGCTATCCTGCTTAAAATCTCGTTTTGAACACTTTTTCCTTCTGCACCGACTTCTAATTCCGCACCGTTTGTGAGATAGAATTGTTTTTCTATTAAAATTTACTCTTTTTACTCTATTTTTGGCCCAATTTTATATATTACTTCAAAGACATTCTTTTTATTATCAATTTACCAAAACATATATTTTTGATAAAAATAATAAATAATTGACTAGTTTGATAATTAAAATGATACAAGAACGTATTAAATATGAGTAAAAAATAAGCACAAAACGGACTTATCAATCTCCTCACACTTAAACGTTGTTTGCCCTCAAGCAACTCATCATCTACCAACACAAGAATGAAGAAGCTTGTTTGATTATATTCTAAGATCCTACTTCCTTGCAATAATCAGTTAATTTCATTAGCATTAATTACTTCATCTTTTTTTTTATATTCTAAAAACTAAATATCTCATCACTCTTTTCAAAAAATTTAACAATGAACTTATTTAAAAGTTTGCGTGAGTAAGTTTTTCTTCCAAGATCTCCTAAGGTCAGTAATTAATAACGATTTGTAGTCTCTTGGTCCACTTATCTCAATTAATAAACTTATTTTTTTTTTTTGTTTTTTGTTTGTTTTTTTGTGAGTTATCCCATAATGCCCTTTTTATTTCTTATGAATTGATTTTTTTTTCTTTTAATAATAATAAAAGGGCAGAGCTCCAAAGGAGATAGGATACTCAGTGCAGCACATAAGCGCAAACAATTGGAACAATTGTTTGGGTTGTGGGTTTATCCCATTACATATGCATACTTGCTCCCTCGCCTTATGCGATTCACGGGAGAAGCAGAGCTCCTTTCGGAGATAGGATTCCCAATTCGTCACTAAAGCGCAACCATCACAATTATCTTTGTTTATTTATTTCAATTAAAGAGAAAGTGACCAAAAGACTTATAATCGTTATGTAATTAACAACCTTAAGTTACCCAATTAAAACCCAACTCATGCACAATTTTAAATAAAAGTTCATTGTTAAACTTAGAAACGAGTAAATGATTAATTATTTAATTTATTAGAGAATAAAAGAAAAATGGAAAGTACTTGAAAACTAAATTCATAAACTGATTATTGATCAATAAAATAATTTTCTAGAATATAATCATACCTGATATTCTACCTCCTCACACTTAAGCTGGACCTCGCCCTCGAGGTCCAAATGCGGGATCCAAGTAGAAAAATCAAAGTATGTCAATCTTCCTCACACTTAGTGTGAAGCATATGATGAGAGGCAAGATTTTAATGAACATAAAAAGTTAAAAATTTGGCCAAGATTAGAAATAAAAAGCTATTTTTAATAGAAAATTGTTTTATGCGTTAAAACACTTTTTGAGTGCGAAATCTGGCAAGGCTCATTGTTATGGCTTCCATTCGTTTTTCCTGCAAAAGAAAAGAAAACAACAACAAGTGCACAGTGTGTGAAAGTGTGAACAAGAATTATTATTATTATTATTATTATTATTATTATTATTATTATTATTATTATTATTATTATTATTATTATTATTATTATTATTATTATTATTATTATTATTATTATTATTATTATTATTATTATTATTACTACTATTACTATTATTATTATTATGACGGGTTGCCTCCCGTTAAGCGCTAATTTAACGTCATTAGCTTGACGCCATTATTCCTAAACTTGGTAAAACAAACATATCTAACGGAGCACTCTCCTCGAGAGTCTCTAACTTTTTCCGAATAACCGTCGTAAGGTGGCGCAGACCTAGATATTCATGAAGCTAAAGAATAGTGAAAATCCTATAAAAAGAACTGATCATCCTCAAGCATAAACGATATTCTGATAAAGTTAAAGGCTTGGGGATGCTCGACTTCACGAAAAGTGGTTCAAAGAGACCCTCTTTTTGTGGAAAAATCTTCGGTGACTCAAGGTCTCTTTGAATGAGTTTTTCTAAGGGACTCTCTTCAGGATATACATTCTGGTCAAATTCAATAGAGCCCCCTAAATGATTAATGCCCTCGGACTTTTGTAAAAATTATACCTTAAGTTCACTTTTATGTTCTCTGTTTCCCTCGTTGAGAGACGAACAAACAGGTCCTTGATCGTCTCTTTTCTCTTCTATACCTAATGGAGAATCATTAAAGTTTTCCTCAGGCATTACTCCCTCCAACCCATTATTGTGATTTTCATTATTTACTCGAACAAGAATACCCTTATCAAGCAAGTTTTTTAATGTTTCTTGATATTCATCTTCAAAATTAGCCCAAAGATTTTCTTGTTCGAGATAATATTTATTTTCATCAAATTCCTCATCTTGAGATGGTTGGCCTAAAGAAGGTGTTCCTTCTTGCACTATGTTTGATTCAACAATTTTATCCATTTCAATTTCCTCATCCTCAAATTCATTAGCTAACAATTCATTTTGATGAATTTTATTAGGTTCATTAGGTTTGAATTCTAATAATTCATAGAGATTGCCAATTTCCTTAAGAATTTCTTCTTTTTCGTTATTGAAAATCTCAAGATTAGAATCAGAATTTAGAGAAGAATAAGGAAAAGTATAACAAAGATCACCTTCTTCATTTACTAAACCCTTGTTATTAAGAAATTCATCAAAATCAAGGTTAGTATATCTTTTTAATTCTATTTGCCCAATTAAATTTCTTATAATGCGATCCATGTCATTTTTTATTGATTTTAATTCATTACTAATCACATCAAAATTATTAATAGGGAAAAATGAGGAATAAGGAGAGGAATAATTCTCTTGATAATCAAAGTTATTGTAATTCTCCTCCTGCTCATAATTATTTTCATCGAAGAATCTAGAGGGATTATTACAATAATTTTGATTGTCATAAAAATCACAATAATTATTTCGATAATTTGGTAAATGATCAAAATTATTAAAATTTCTCCCATGATCATAATCATCAAAATAATTATTACTCATAAGAGAATTGTAATGCCAATTGTTTTCAAAATCTTGATCATTACCAAAATTATCTTGTGAACAAGCAAAATTACCATTATCATAATTATTCCACCTATTACCATTAAATTGATAATCATTTTCAATCATGGGTGGATTTTCATAAAAACTATTTTCACACTGGTAATTTTCGTAATAATCATTAGAAAAATTATTTTCACAATATGGGTATGGTGGGTAATCATTAGAATGAGAATTATAAAAATTATTAAAACGACTCATAAAAATGTAAATAAGGAAAAAAAAACAAATAAATCAAGTAAACTAAAAATTTTCCTATGAAAATAGAAAAACTAACTAAACCGTGCCACTCCCCGCCAACGGCGCCATTTGACAAACTGCGTATAGCGGTAAGTCAAGCTTTTATTATTTATCACAGGTAAATTTATAGTCTAAGAAACGTGAAATAATAAGAAATAAAGCGTCTAAAATAAAATAACTTGAGGAGTTAAGATCGGAACACGGACATAACACACCATCAATAATTTAGAAACAGGTACGAATCGAACAGGTATATGGGCTAAGATAATAATTTTGGATTAACTTAACTTCTTAATTAATTTGATTTTATATCATTAACTTATCAATTTTTCAGGCGTCATTAATGTTTCTAAATATGGTTGGCTAGATTATTTTTCTTAACTCTTAGATAAGCTAGATAAATAATCTCCAAAGAATAATTAATAAATTGGCCAGATCTATTAATTAGTGAATCTCATTTTAGACAATTGAATCAAATTAATCAAGTTACTAACTTAATTTTAAATACTAATCATTAGCCCATACCCTTAATTCAATTCATACCTAAGTATAAATTTAGTCACTAAAAGCCATTAGTTCACAATTTAAACTAAGTAATAAAAGATAATTTTATTAATAAAATAAGAGTATACAAGAAAGCTTACAGATTTTGAAGAACGGAATACAAATCGCACAAACCTTCAGATCAACACTAGTGCTTCAAAGACTTGATAATTAACTTAAGATGATAAAATTGAACACACCCAATTTTAATACTCCGTACAATATTAAAAATCAAAAGGGAGAATTTTCACCCCTAAAAAGGGGAAAATCGTTGTTGGAGAAGCCTGGGAAAAGGGAGGATCCGCGCTGGCCATTTATAGGAGAGGATCACCGACCGGCGAGCAGACTAGCGGCCGCCAGCCAGCCCGCCGGCGGGCCGCTGGAACCATCTGGAAACTCACCAGGTAGGCTGCCGCTGGTCAGGCCGTCTACTGTCCCGCCCTCGTCCGTCAATGCTATCCTGCTTAAAATCTCGTTCTGAACACTTTTTCCTTCTGCACCGACTTCTAATTCCGCACCGTTTGTGAGATAGAATTGTTTTTCTATTAAAATTTACTCTTTTTACTCTATTCTTGGCCCAATTTTATATATTACTTCAAAGACATTCTTTTTATTATCAATTTACCAAAACATATATTTTTGATAAAAATAATAAATAATTGACTAGTTTGATAATTAAAATGATACAAGAACGTATTAAATATGAGTAAAAATATAAGCACAAAACGAACTTATCATTTATCATTCATAATCATCCATAGTAATTATTCATTGTAATGATCAATCAACATACATTTAATAACAAATAGCGGTCTAGTCTCGAGTGTTAACACCCGAACTTACCGTCATGCATCACATAATGTTTTAATTTGTTAAAAACATCATTCTTATTATGAAAAATCATTATTATAATAATCATAATCATTTAGTATCAAAAATAGGATTTTAGAACTCAAAAATCAAATTTTTCTAGAAAATAATCGGATCAGACGGTACCCTTCACGGTACCTCGGTACCGGCTCACGGTACCTCGGTACCGTTCCGGCGGTAGGTTGGTACCGTTTGGACGGTACTTATCTACCGTACCGGCGGTAGGGGTCTACCGTGCACTGTTCATCGTCTTCCTCCTCGGGCCTGGTTTTGGAAATTTCATTTTTAGTTCACCAAACTTCAATTAAATGTACAGAAATGTTCCCCAATGTTCATAGATCATTTGAGTGTCATTAGTTCGTAGTTTTAACAACAATTTCAACATTTTGTTTCTTGGTTCTTTAAACATGTCAAACATAAAACTCAACCAAATGACCATTTATGAACGTAGAAACGATCTATACGAACATTCTAGTCATTAGATATATCAACGGGTTTACCTTGAAGCGTAAGGAAGGTTTTGACGATTTTCCGGCGAAACTTCCGGCGACTCTATCTCACTACTCCGGCGACCTCACACCAAGATGACAGCACCACTGCGTTCTACACACTCAAAGCGAACTCTCAGAAGCAATTTGGGAAGAAATGGTGAAGAATTGGGTAGGAAGAGGTGGTCCTTAAATAGCCTAAGTGAAGAGGAAGCAGACGCGGTGATGACCTCCTTGCGACTGTTTTGGCGGCTGAGTGGAGTAGGCTGCTATCTTCTCCGATTCTAAACGTAAGTCCCTGATTGGGACTAAATTGGTCCCAGTCGGGGAACACTTTTTGGTCCAACTTTCTCCAAATTGAAATCCGATTGAACCGTTGGAGTCAGACAGTCAAACTCTACACAGCAATATAATTTTCATCAATTATTGTGTCAAACTTTATAATTTACTTATTTTAGGTCCTTCTCAGTAATTAATTAATTATTAATTAATTAATTCTGATAGGCCTATTTTCGGGCCGTAACATTTCTCTCCCCCTTAAAACAATTTCATCCTCGAAATTACCTGAGTCATTGATTGAAGTGATTCGGATATTGCATTCTCATTGACTCTTTGGTTTCCCATGTTGCCTCTTCAGTCGAGTGATTCCTCCATAGTACTTTGACTAGAGGTATAGATTTATTCCTCAATTGTTTGACTTCTCGTGCTAGAATTTGTAAAGGTTCCTCCTCATAAGTCAACTGCTCATCAAGAGTCACAATTCCCTCGGTCAAGATATGCGATGGATCAGAACGATATCTTTTCAACATCGATACATGGAATACGTCATGGATCTTGTTCAGTTCTGGTGGAAGTTCTAACCGATAGGCTACTGGACCCACATGTTCAATAATTCGATAGGGTCCAATATATCTTGGACTTAGATTTCCCTTCCTACTAAAACGTAACACTTTCTTCCATGGTGAGACTTTCAGAAACAATTTGTCATCAACATTGTATTCAATCTCTCTACATTTCAAATCGGCATAAGACTTTTGTCGATCGGAAGCCACTTGCAGTCTTTCTCTGATGAGACGAACCTTTTCTTCAGTTTCGCGGACGAGATCAGGTCCCTCAAGCTTCTGTTCTCTTAATTCTGTCCAGCATAAAGGGTTCTACAACGTCTCCCATACAAGGCTTCGTACGGGGCCATTTGGATACTTGCTTGATAACTGTTGTTATAAGCGAACTCCATTAATGGTAGGTATTCTTCCCAATTGCTTCTGAAATCAATTACACATGCTCTCATCATATCTTCGAGGATTTGGATTGTTCGTTCAGATTGTCCGTCAGTTTGAGGGTGAAATGCCGTACTAAAGTTGAGTTTAGTACCTAGGGCTTTCTGCAAACTCTTCCAGAATTGTGACGTGAATCGCGGGTCACAATCAGAAATGATAGACAAAGGTACACCATGTAATCTTACGATCTCACGAATGTACAACTCTGCTAATTTCTTTAGTGACATATCACGCCGAATAGGAATAAAATGAGATGACTTGGTTAATCGGTCAACAATTACCCAAACAACGTCATTTTTCTTAGCCGATAATGGAAGTCCAATCACAAAGTCCATCGTAATTCGTTCCTACTTCCATTCGGGGATGGTAGGTGGATGTAATAGTCCACTTGGCACTTGGTGTTCAGCCTTGACTTGTTGACTTGTCAGACATCGTGTTGTAAATTCAGAAATTTCTCGCTTCATTGTGGGCCACCAATATGTCTTCTTTAGATCTTGGAACATCTTATTACTTCCACGATGCATGGTATATGCGGTTTCGTGAGATTCACGCATTAAACGTTCCCTCACTTCGCCACTAGGAACTACCAAACGATTCTGGTAGAATAAAATTCCATCATTTACAGTGAAATCTTGTCTCTCCCCCTTAGAGACAAGTTCACAAGTCTTCAAACAGTAATCATCACGTTTTTGTGCAATGTGAATTTCGTTCTCAAGAGTAAGTTGGATTCGGAGTTCAGCTATAATCTTTCGGCTCAATGCGTCAGCAACAACATTAGCCTTGCCAGGGTGATAGTCGATGTAACAGTCGTAGTCTTTGATCAATTCCAACCATCTTCTTTGTCTCAGGTTTAAGTCTTTTTGAGTTAGCACGTATTTCATATGGTCTGTGTGAATATATGTCGTCTCTCTAAAGAGATAATGACGCCATATCTTTAGGGCAAATACAACTGCTTCTAACTCAAGATCGAGAGTAGGATAGTTACACTCGTGAGGTTTCAACTGCCTTGATGCATATTCCAAGACTTTTCCGTCTTGCATGAGTACACATCCCAAGCCATTATGGGATGCGTCACTAAAGATTGTGTAGTCTACACCTGGTACCGGTTGTGTCAGTATAGGTGCTTCTGTCAGACATTTCTTTAGTTCCTCAAAACTTTGCTGACATGCATCGGTCCATACGAATTTTACATCCTTTCTGAGAAGTTTGTTAAGTGGAGTTGCGATCGAGGAAAAGCCTTCAACAAATCGTCGATAGTATCCAGCTAATCCTAGAAAGCTTCTCACTTCACGAACATTCCTTGGAACCTTCCACTCGGTGATGGCAGATATTTTACTATGGTCCACTTTAACACCTTCTTTAGAAATCACATGTCCCAAAAATGTAACTTCATTAAGCCAGAATTCACACTTTGATGGTTTGGCATACAGTTTATGTTCTCGTAGTACGCTGAGTACTATCTCCAAATGCTTCGCATGATCTTCTCGATTCTTCGAATAGACAAGAATATCATCGATGAATACAACCACGAATTGGTGAAGATAAGGTCGGAATAAACTATTCATGAGATCCATGAATACTGCTGGAGCATTGGTCAAACCAAAGGGCATCACCGTAAACTCATAATGACCATAACGAGTAAGGAACGCAGTCTTTGGGATGTCCTCTTTCTTTACCAGGATTTGATGGTATCCTGACCGTAAGTCAATCTTAGAGAATACCGTAGATCCTCTAAGCTGATCAAATAAGTCATCGATACGAGGTAAAGGATATCAATTTTTGATTGTGACTTTGTTTAATTGCCGATGCAGAGTCTCATCGAGCCGTCTTTCTTTTTGACAAACAGAACAGGTGCTCCCCAAGGGAAAACACTTGGACGTATGAATCCTTTATTGAGCAGTTCTTGTAGTTGAGCCTTCAACTCTTTCATTTCAGCAGGGGCCATGCGATAAGGAGTTGCAGAGATCGGTCCTGTCCCAGGAACAAGATCGATGGAAAATTCTACTTCTCTAGAAGATGGAATTCCAGGAAGTTCGCTAGGAAATACGTCAGGGTAGTCACATACTGTCAGTATATCTTTCAACTCAGGAGTTTCCTTTCGTGTGTCACGTATGTTACACAGATAAGCTTTTCTTCCGAATGAGACGCCTAGCATGTACGTACGAGATGCATTCAGTGGATCTAGGTGTTAGCTTTTCTTTCACCTCTATAGACTTTCCTTTTGCAGACTTTAGTTGGATCGTTCGTTGTTGGCAATCGATAACTGCTTGGTGTTTGGTGAGCCAATCCATTCCAAGGATGATGTCAAATTCTTTGTACGGTAGTTCGACAAGATTGGCAGAGAACTTATGCCCTTCAACAATCAATGGACAGTCTTGATATACATGATTTAACCTGATACTATGTCCTAACGGGTTAGACACTAGTATAGGTTGTTTAAAATGTTCATTCATTATTCCAGCGTTTTTAGGCATATGTATACAGATATAAGACAACGTTGATCCAGGGTCTATCAACACATGCATGACAGTATCAAATAAGAAAAACATACCCTGAATGACGTCAGGGTTTTCCTCAGTTCGTGCCTTCATTGCATATGTACGAGCAGGAGCTCGTCCTTGTTGTTGGTTCTGATTCTTGGCTGGTTTAGACCCCGCTGTTGAGCGTTGACTTGGTGCGGGTTGTGCTGATGCCGACTGACTAGCAATGGGGGTATATGGAAATGGTTCTCCAGGATTTGTAGGGCACTTCTTTTTGAAATGTCCTGGTTTTCCAAAGCCGAGGCATAACCCTTGTTTAAGCCAGCATTCTCCCAGGTGATTTCTCCCACAGTGTTCGCAAGCAGGATATCTCCGCTTTCTGGACTTATCAACGGATTCCATCGGCTGAGTTTGTACAGATCTACCCTTTTTAGAGAAATGTGAATTGCTATCTCCTTAGAAAGGCCTTTTTCCCTTCGAAACAGAATTGGTGGGTTGATGAGTACTAGGACTCGGATTGTTTATTTTCAAATACTCATTGCAGGCATTCAAGTCATTATCTGCCTTGGCTATTAGATCGTAAGCCGCCGCAAAATCCACCGTGGTCAAGATGGATACTCTCGACCTAAGGTCAGGTCGAAGTTTATTCTTGAACTCTTCGATGCGGTCTGTTGGGGTGCTCACCAATGTTGGTGCAAACTTGGCAAGATGAGTGAACTTCTGACTGTACTCGGGTAGTGTCATACCCTCTTGTTGCAGTTCCACAAATTCCTTACGTCTTTCCTCACAAAAACGTTTGGGAATATATTCTTGTTTGAATGCCCACTCGAAATGGGTCCAAGTCCAAGGTTTCGGGGTTTCTGCACTTTTGTCAGTTCTCTTCCACCATTCGTAGGCTTCCTTGCGTAGTAGTTGAGAAGCGAGCCTAGGATAGTTATCAATTAGTACATTTAAATCCTCCAACACTCGAGCAGTTTGCTCGATCCAGTCCCACGCGACCTGGGGTTCCGCGATACGATCTCTAAGGAATATTTCGGCACCGTTATCCCTTAGTGTCTTGTAGGTTATTACACGAGGTGGCGGTGGTGGAGGTGGTTGAAATATTGGTGCGTTGGCTATCTTTTGTAACACATTAGCCAGAAAAGTTGGAATCACAAGGTCAGGTTGACCGCCAGCGTTTGGGTTATTCCCAACATTTTGTTGAATGACGGGTTCATTTTGGACGGGAGGGGTAAAACTAGATGCTTCAGTATGAACACTGACGTGTTCATTGTTGTTGCCTTGTCCGTGGGTAGATTCTTGACTCATTCTACAATAACAGAAATTCCTTTATTAGGATTCTTTTATTCAGTAGTTGAGTTTAAGATAGAAATTGCAAAGGATTACAACAGTCGATACAATCAATGGATTTGAAATGATCAACAAGATAATTTCTAATTGTTTTCGTTCGATTGGTTAAATCGTGACGAATCTACGGCTTGGTCTTCTACGCCTGATCCGCACACGCTGTTTGCAGAGTCTACGCTGAATGTCTCTTCTTGGTCATCACGTTCCCATGCAGCCTTGCGGCGCAAATAAATTCTTTGTTTCATTATTCTCGCAAAGCGATGAGCACGTTGATATCGTATCAATGAGTCATATATATTTCGTTTGTTCTTTCGTCTTTTACCAAGTACCAAAGTGCGACTTGAATCAACACTTGATATCATTTCCGAATTAACAGTTGACATCTATAAAGGTTTAATACAGTCAAATTCAATACTAAAATTTTCTTTTTTTTATTACCTTCATGGAGTAGAGGGATGCGAGAGTCGTGGATTTGGTTGACGTCATTTTTTTATTAGGGCCAAATTTTTTTTAACAAACTTTTGATCCGAAGATCGGTTTCAAAACCATTTGCTCTGATACCAAATTGTAACACCCTAATCCGTCCAGGTCTTCAGCCCGTTTCGGACTAAAGTATTAACTTGGTATTCATAAAATTTAAAACATTTCAAATACTTTTATTCATCATAAATATTATTTAATACATAACTGTAGCAAAATACGGAGTGTTTAACAATAGTGCGGAAGCAATTTAAATCATGTTTAATAACAACATAATTATTTATTCAAAGTCACAAATTCCACCACGATAATCTCCCCCCTTCCGTTGCGAGGAACATGCCAATCATTCATTCTGCCTACCTGCGTGTAGCAAATAAAACATACTACACGCTAAGCGATGAAGCTGGGTAAGCATATCTAAAACTTGGAAATCCACATAAATTGAATCTAAATTCACAATAAGCATTTGATATCATGCACACAATATATAATTTATTCAACACTTTTATTTCAGTATCTCAATATTCAACATTCATATTCCATATTCAACAATATCCTTAAACCATGTTTAGTCTAAGGCCAATTCTTTTAATGTTTACCAACTCTTAAACTAATTCTAGTTCAAGGTACTTCTAACCAACTCTTAAACTATTTCTAGTTTAAGGTACTTCTAACAAACTCTTAAGCTAGGTCATTAGTTTAAGGTACATGTTCCGATTGATTTACCAACTCTTAAACTAGCCTTCGCTCATGGTACAATTCCAGAAAACCGAACAGTAGAATACTAACTGTCGGGTTGGGTGGTATCCCCAAACGAGTTCCTCTAGTTTGGTTTATGGATCCCGTACGTACGTTTTTACCCGAGGCCACCGAATATACATATTTATACCCGCAAGGCCCAATCTAATTTGAGGTCTATCTTAGAGGTCTTCGAGATAGCCTTAACAATACACCGGTTCCATGTTCACCATTATATTCATTTTTAATCCTTGATAATTCTCCTAATCAGTAGGTTTATCATTCATAATCATCCATAGTAATGATTCATTGTAATGATCAATCAACATACGTTTAATAACAAATAGCGGTCTAGTCTCGAGTGTTAACACCCGAACTTACCGTCATGCATCACATAATGTTTTAATTTGTTAAAAACATCATTCTTATTATGAAAAATCATTATTATAATAATTATAATCAGTTAGTATCAAAAATAGGATTTTAGAACTCAAAAATCAGATTTTTCTGGAAAATAATCGGATCAAGCGGTACCGTTCCGGGGGTAGGGGAGTACTGTCGGTTGGCAGGTATCGCCAAGGGAGTTCGGAAGGCGACGGCAGTATCCTACCGTTCCGGCGGTAGGTTGGTACCGTTTGGACGGTACTTATCTACCGTACCGGCGGTAGGGGTCTACCGAGCACTGTTCATCGTCTTCCTCCTCGGGCCTGGTTTTGGAAATTTCATTTTTAGTTCACCAAACTTCAATTAAATGTATAGAAATGTTCCCCAATGTCCTTAGATCATTTGAGTATCATTAGTTCGTAGTTTTAACAACAATTTCAACGTTTTTGATTCTTGGTTCTTTAAACATGTCAAATATAAAACTCAACCAAATGACCATTTATGAACGTAGAAACAATCTATACGAACATTCTAGTCATTAGATATATCAACGGGTTTACCTTGAAGCGTAAGGAAGGTTTTGACGATTTTCCGGCGAAACTTCCGGCGACTCTATCTCACTACTCCGGCGACCTCACACCAAGATGACAGCACCACTGCGTTCTACACACTCAAAGCGAACTCTCAGAAGCAATTTGGGAAGAAATGGTGAAGAATTGGGTAGGAAGAGGTGGTCCTTATATAGCCTAAGTGAAGAGGAAGCAGACACGGTGATGACCTCCTTGCGACTGTTTCGGCGGTTGAGTGGAGTAGGCTGCTATCTTCTTCAATTCTAAAGGTAAGTCCCTGATTGGGACTAAATTGGTCCCAGTCGGGGAACACTTTTTGGTCCAACTTCTCCAAATTGAAATCGGATTGAACCGTTGGAGTCAGACAGTCAAACTCTACACAGCGATATAATTTTCATCAATTATTGTCAAACTTTATAATTTACTTATTTTAGGTCCTTCTCAGTAATTAATTAATTATCAATTAATTAATTCTGATAGGCCTATTTTCGGGGCGTTACACATATTTTGTGAGTGTTTTTGAGCTTGTGAATATTGGTATATAAAATCATATCCTTACATCGGTGTCTACCTAAATTTTACGCTAGTTTAGTGTTTTGACTTCAATCTTGAGAACTGAATCTTAATGGATTCTTGTTGTACTTGAAACACTTAAACAACCGTTAAACTCTTGTATTATTTGTTAACATCAAAACATGAGACTTAGCAAACCAAGGCTAACAATCTCCCCCTTTTTGATGTTGACAAACAATATACTTCAAAGTGAGTTTGGCGGGAGTAAAATAATGATGCCAGCAAGTTCCCCCTAAGAATAAGCATATTGAAAATACTCACTTTGAACTTTTCTTGTGTTTATTAAAAGTTTGATTTTGATGCAAATAGTTACACAAGAATGCACTCAAGTCAAGTTGCATATGCACCACTTTGAAGTATACATCTTCTCCCCCTTTTGTCAAAATCAAAACGGGCATTTACAACGAAACTCCCCCTAAAAATGAAAACTCCCCTAAAATGATGCAAGTTTAAAAACTTTATTTTTCAGGGATTTTTTAGGATTATTTTCTAAAATGCATGATATAAAGATGGATTTTTTTTAAAAATAAAAATTTAATCATGCAAACCAAGGCTAAAGCAAGTTAGAGCATATATGGAATAAGTTTTTGTTTTTGAAAAATAATAAAAACAAAAATTCTTATCCCAATAAGAAAAAAGAACTTACCTTGTTTTATGTCGTTCTTTCTTCGACTTTGAATATACTTCTTTTCTCTTAACATATTTCTTCCATTTGAGAAAATCCGTATACTTCATTCTCATTGCCTTCTCTTCATCTTCCTCGTCACTTGACTCTTCCGAGGAGCTTGAGTCATTTGACTCGCTTGATTCTTCACTTTACGAATCTTTAGAAGCTTTGAAGGCGTTTGTAAGCTTGGGATTTTCTCGCATTTCTTCCTCTTTGATCTTTCTCAATAGAAGTTCGTGAGAATACAAGACCAAATGTGGGCAGTTTCGGCCTTATCACATTTGGGTAATAAATCTACGATACTACTATGCCATTTTTTAGGTAAAGAAAATAGAATTTTCGTATTAAGCTCAGAAGAAGTATACGTCTTACCCAACTTACTCAACTTATTGACAATCTCGTTGAACCTCTTGTTCATGTCTTAGATTGTCTCACTTGACCCTTTCTTGAAGGATTCGTATCCCGAGTTCCCAAGGGCAATCATCGTTTGCTTAGTTGAGATGTCGCCTTCATGAGTAGCTTGTAGCAAGTCTCATACCTCTTTGGCCGTTTTGCATGAACATACTCGTGCAAACTCATCGGGGCCGAGAGAGCAATGGAGAATATTGATTGCCTTTGCGTTCATGGATAGTTTCCTCTTGTCCTCTGAAGATAATCCTGCAAAATCACCATTACTCAAATGGCCCGTGAAGTACATTCAACAATAAATCAAAATCAATTGATTGAATGAAATATTCCATCTGCATTTTCCAATAAGAATAGTTTTGACCATTGAAAACGGAGGGTGGTGGATGCTCTGGGAATCCATTTGGGCCATATTTCAATAAATTTGAATTTAAAAATTTGAAGACAAAATTTTTTTGAGATTTTAAAAATTCAAATTTAAAAAGGGCACAACGAGTAGATCTTTGTCGTAGATGCGGTTAAGCACTTTCAACTACGAAATCGCTCCGATACCAATTGTTAGTCGGTTTAGTCATTGTGCCTACGCCTTAAGGGGGTGAATAAGGCGTTTGAAAACTTTTCGGAGTTTACTAAAAATAGTGTTGGAAAATGCGGAAGCAATATATAAAACGCAAAGTAAAAGCATAAATAAAATGCACACCGAATTTATACTGGTTCAGGAACTCCCTACTCTAGTACCTCGAGGCTCCTCCTCAAGGATTTCCGAATCCACTAAGTCTCGGTCTCTTGAACTCCATCAAAGCACCGGACTAGTTTGGCAAACAACCCTTGCCAATAGGATTCACTCCGAGATTTCACCACGGCTATCTCGAACCGTTTACAATGAAGATTAACGGCTATGTTCTAACGTTCTACCAAGGATTTCAAAGGCTATCCTTGAACCTTTACCTAAGGATTTATACGACTATCCTTGACCGTTACAATGTGAGAATTTAACGGCTATTCTCGACCGTAAGAAGGTGTGTTTGAAAAACACAAACAAGAGTTCTACACAATGGCTTGAATATAAAAATGAAGAACAAAACTTAGCCTGTGTTGAAGGAAAGTATTGTTATGCGGAATTCGAGAATAACAAATATGAACGAGGAAAAACACGACAACAGATTTAACGTGGTTCACCAACGTTGTGTTGGCTAGTCCACGGGAAAGAGGGGGAGCAGACTTATTACGGACTGGAGAGGCAAAAAAACAGAATACAGAATACCCCCATAGGGTTTGTGATA